CCCCCCCTCCAAATTGCACACCATTAGTTATGACATATCACCATTCCCTGGAACCTACATGGAAAATCCTCAAACAACTGCAATCCATACTAGAAGACGACCCGATTCTTAAAGAGATCTTTCTAGAACCACCCATCGTAGCCTTTAAACAAAGCACCAAACCTCGCTAACCTCATCACCAGATGCAAGTTCCCCATGACCCAAACCACAGCTCATGCCAGAACAAGAAATGCAAAACCTGCCAACACATCTCCACCATCCTCACAATAACTACAGCCCACAACAGAACCATCACCATTCCTGGATCTTATGCCTGCATCTCCAGAAATGTTATACATCTCATCCAGTGGACCAAATGCCCCGATGGAAAAATATGTAAGAGAAACCAAACAGGAGCCGAGCACCAGAATGAATGCATACCGAAAAATCTATCGAAGACAAGAATACCCAACTACCTGTGGGTGCCCACTTCTCACAAGCAATCACTCCCTCTCCGGTCTCTCAGTTCTAATCCTCAAAGGGAACTTACAAAACACCTTTCACAGACAAGCCTATGAACTCTACTTCATATATCTACTGGATACAAAAAATCATGGACTTGATATAGACATTGGATTTATGACATTAGAACCTGCCAGACCTGACCTCTTACAACGTTGTTTCCTCCGCCCCCACCTTTCTCCCCTCCCCTACTTTTTTGCCCTTTATCTTCCTAATTCCCAGCCTTTTCCTCTCTCACAGACAGCCTCTTTTTTACCTTGTATTATTTATCACTACTGTACAGTCTCTGACTCACCTTTGGTATTCCCCCTCCCCCCAGCCCCCATTTTCTTCCCTCCTCACCTGCTCTACCTCTTGTCTTCCTAATCTCTACCTATTCACATTCTCACTAACATCCTGTCACACTTTTAGCTTCGGTCATTCCTTGGAGTCTCAGAACAGCAGAGACTCCCTATGCCTGAAGGGTGATTGTGCCCAAAAGCTTGCTAAGAACTTTTTTCCAACTACTCAGATGGTCTAATAAAAGATATCACATGTACTCAAAGAGCCTTGCCTGCTTAAATAAGTAAGTGAGACACATGTGCCAGTGTGGGTACAAGAGGAGATACTCTAATGAGGTCAGGCTTCAGTAAAGCTCTATCCAGATGTCCCTAGTAGATTCATGGTAGAAGCCTTAAAATCCAAAGAATGATAATTTCTTGCATGTAAACTTTATATTGACACTGCTGCCAAGAGCATTCCAACAGTATTAGACATTATAGCTGCATACAGATGTAAAAAAAACTGCAAAAAAACGGCGCTTTAAACTCCGTGCATGCCCAGAAGAGGTATCAGATTAGTTAGAACCAGCTCACCCAACATCTGTATAGATCAGAAGCTTCAGTGGGGCTTTTTTGGTGCTTTTATCTAATAGCTGACTGAATCAACTTAGATAGAAGCGCCAAAAAGCCCTGATGAAGTGGGAATCTATATGGACTCTGCAGAGCAGGGTCGAACTAATGCACAGCCTCTTCTGCTAAAGCACATTTTTGTTTATTTCACATCTGTCAGCACCCTATGTGGAAGACTGATTCAGGACCATAAAGCATGTAGAACCATGCAGTAGCATTTATTAGTTTTGCAAAAAGAAAATTATTCAAAATACTTTTGCTAATTTTTTTAATGAGGTCTGTAGTGATGAAATCTGGGTTGGCCAATTCAGGTGAGCAACCAGCTTGACTGAATCTGTGGTTTAATCTATATTACTGAATTCTAAACAATAAATCAATGCTAGCCAATATGGGAGAGGGGCGGAGAAATAAGTGTGAAAGTTCTTCCACCATAAAAGAGCATATAAATCTTTAGACACAGCCAGACTAAATATCTCCACAGGTTTTTTAATTCAAAATGTACATGTTTCATGCAGCTATGTGTATTTAATCTATGTTATAAGAAGAACTGGAGTAGGGGAGAGCTGAAAGAGGTGTTAGACAAAAAATACTTGTATTGCAAAAAGTCATATTAAAAAAGTACAGTAAAAATATACACAAATCCCTAAGAATCATTCATTCATGCTTATGGCAAATTAGGAGTTAAACTATTGTAAAAAGAGTTTAATCCCCTCCTGCATTGGGAAATGGCTGAAACTGAGTCATATGTATTTACATGTTCAAATACCTCACGTCCTGTTGCTGTAGCAGACAAAGAACAAAGCTCGTTACCATAAATCTCGCATCTACAGTTGGCTTCTGGAGGAGTAAAGGTCTATAGACTTTTGCACAAAAATGTGGACAAAAAGCCTCTCCAGATGAGTTAAAGTAGCACTATTTTACCAACTAAATTTAACTTCCTATAATGAAAATGAAAGCATTTATTTTAATAACTGGATTGCTCTCTCTCCCTTCTAGCCTAACTGGTAAGTTTCATTTTCTGTGTTTTATATTTGATCTGATGCCATCTGCATTGTATTTATTTGTATTTTAGATGATCAAGTCAGCTGATACAGTGTACAATGTCTCCAGTAAAACGTTGATTTCTCTATTTCTGTTAGAGAAAGAATCTAAGATAACTGCGTTACATATTAGTTAGCAAAATTAGAGGGAAGTGCGGAAGGGAAGAGAGCAACTGTATTTCTGTTTATTGACACTTCCATCCCCTGCACAACCCAACATATCCAACACTACCACTACTTGCAGATGTAGCAGTGATTTTGCTGGAATATACCCTCTATGTAGAGAGTATCAAACACAGAATTATCACTTAAGACGAGGAACACCAGTAGTAGAAAAGTCTTGGCTGAGTGAGAATGCTGGCATCACAAGACAAATGCTTGAGGGAATGTGGTTGTTTACAAAGACTGGGCCTAAAAATTCTTATTTTAACTGAGGGTGGGGGGAAAGAACTAAATTTTAGTGAGAGCAAAATTGGGCATTTTATATGAAGATAAAACAGTCATGCATTTCTTTTAAAACACACACTGCCACACACATGCATCTTTAAAAGGGCAGTCATGCCCACAGGGAATGAAAACTGACATTGTCTATGCCCAGGAAGCTGATTTGAGTGATTCAAAACAACTCTACTGCAGAGCTGACATCTACAGTGGAGGGATCCCATTTTAGTGGTCAGTTAAGTGCGGACACAAGTGTTATTTTCTGTACTTTTATCAAAGATGAACTGTCGCTGCAGGGCAAATGAGTAGGTGTTTCGCACTCATCCTGTTAAATCCTGCTACCTCTTACAGAGTACATTTGCTCTGAATTCTTAAGGTATGACTCCAATTTCAAGATCTGCACTCTAAGTACAACTTCAAAGCTTTTGAGATTATTGTACCTAAAAAGATTCTCAAAAATTTAAAAGGTTACATAAGTTTGAAGTTGTATTACACCTAATACTATAAAAAAAAAAGAATCATTGTATGTTATTAACAAATTCAGGCCAAGCACAAGTACAAACCATTTTTAGATGATCTATTGTAACACCTTTAAAAATTTCTACCCTAGACATTATCAGAAACATTGACAATAGAGAACATATCAAACACGGTAGTTAGGTTTTGCCTAAGTAATAAGAGAATATTTACTATGTGACTTGTTCATAGTTCTATAGAAACTGTAATGAATTACAGGTAAACAAATCAGTTACTCTCATTTTTCCTATATCTACAGATGAAAGGATATTATGATCTATCAAAACCTTTTACTAAAGGAGATAGAGTTCCATCATCCTAGTTTTAAATTGGGGAAGCTGATTAATAGTAATTTTCTAGACTGTCTGTACCTACCCACAGGGGAGGGCAGCTTTCAAAAAGCCCAAGGCAGTTTTCTGGGCCAGAGACAGCTCCTCTGGAGCTGGTCCAGCCCAGCTGCAACCCTGCATGTCACACCCCACTGTGGGCACAGAAATGTCAGGGGCACACGATCCCCATACTGAGTTGCCTGTGGCCCGCCCCCATGTTTTACTTGTGCCCACACCTGCCCTTCTCCACACACCCACCCCATTCTATACACGTTGGGGGTGGGGGGCTGCAGGCTAGAAGTGAAGAGCACCATCAGGGCTGGGGGGCTGTGGTTTGGGAGGGAGGGGCAAAGGCATGGGCAGGGCACCAGCACATCAGCGCTGCTCAGAGCCACAGAGAAGCGGGGACTCACACACACCAGTTGCAGCTGGACCGGTGTCCTGGCAAACGAAGGGGATGGGGAGCTCGGATTTTCCCATGATAAAAAAACAAAATCAAATACCAACATATAAGTATTTAGAATTTATTTTATTATACTGATTGAGGCACTGGTAAGTTTCCAAACTGCTTTAAAACATAGTAAATATATCAATGTTCAACTGATATATATGCGCGCACACACACTCTCTAGTGGTGTTTAATTAAAAAAAAAAAGACGGAAAAATACAGATTTTGGGGGTTTTAATCAGAGAATTTGGGATTTTTAAACAGAGAAAAAAACAGGATCTCTGAGTAAAACTTCTGATTTAGTCTGATACATGATACACTGAAAATGTGATTAACTAATCAATCTTGTCTTAAGTAGTGACATGTTCTTTCAATTAATTGCATGATAAAACCAGAACCAAGTGACAGAATTATTACACCAAAATGTGTGCAATAACTATGGCTGGTTCCTATCATGTCTAACTGAACAAGTTACCAGTGCTCCCAGCTGGGCAAGCACTCCCAACTTCCCAAATAGCTGCTGGAGCTCACAGCTACGGGAGTGCACGGTGCCCCTTCAGCCTAGCCCACAGCTGGGACCTCTAATCATGGACAGCTCCCAGCCACAGGAGCACAGGGTGCCCATCCCCTTCCTGCCTGCAGCTACTGGGAACCTCATCAGTTATTGGAGCTCACAGCTGCAGAAGCGCACCATGCAATCCTGTGGCTGGGAGCTCCATCAGCTGGTTGAAGCTTTCAACCACAGGAGCACCTGGTGTGCCTCCAGGGCTGGCAGCTGAGATCAACTGATGGGGCTGCCAGCCATGGAAGCAGAGACTATTGCAGGGAGAGCCCAGGTTCAGGATGCTGAGCTCCCACTGCACCACCAATATGGTGCAATGCGATTGCACACTCAATCCCATAATTGCGCCTCCTGCCATGCATGTGTGACATAGCAGGAAGTGCAACCTGTTGGGATCATGCACCAGATCCCCTTGTGCCTTCTTTTTAATGTCTGTCAGTGGCCTAAGGTGCCTTCTGCTAACACCAAGCTAATGCAGTTAATGACCTGCCATAAGCACCTCCCAGCAAAGATTACCAGTAATACACTGGATGTGAAGAACTCGGCTTGACCCTAATTCCAAGCTGAGCTTTCTGGGCTGGAAGCCAGTTTAGAAGTAAAATGAGGTTTTCCCTGAGCATAATTTTTATAGAAACCACAGGTACTTTTTTTTTTTTTTTTTTTTAAATAGAATCATTCTTCACATTAAAGATGCAATGACTTTATACCAAGAAAAGGTATATATTAGCTCTCTCTAGAGAATAAGTTTATCTTTTCACAATTTTAACTTGTTCTTTTAAAATTCTAGGACATCAACATAAGAACAGCTCCGCAAGTCCAAACGTATCCAGCAGAACCTTTCACGGAATTCAACAAGGAATTTACGAGTGCTTTCCCCTACCTGATATGGAAGATTCAACAACATCTACTCTCAGAGAATACAAATGCTCTTCAGGAAAGTCAAATGATTCAACACTGAAAGTGAATAATACCACAATACAGTATCTGAACAGCTCTTTGAGCACCAAACTAATACCTGCAGTGTATCTAACTGTAGTTTTATTAGGCATACCATCCAACACCATCACTCTATGGATGCTATTTTTCAGAATAAGATCGGTTTGTACAGCCATATTCTACACAAATTTAGCAATTTCAGATCTTCTGTTCTGTATCATGCTGCCATTCAAGATAGCATACCACTTCAATGGAAACAACTGGATTTTTGGGGAAGTCATGTGTCGAACTATGACTGCTATTTTCTATGGCAATATGTATTGCTCCATTCTACTTCTCTCATGTATCAGCATCAGTCGTTATGTAGCCATCATTCACCCTTTCACCTACAGGAGTCTACCAAAACGAACCTATGCAATCCTAGTTTGCTGCACAGTATGGGCAATTGTTTTTCTGTACATGCTACCATTCTACATAACTAAGCAGAGCTACTGCTTGGAACAATTAAATATTTGTACCTGCCATGATGTACAAAATGCCATGGAGAGTTTATCATTCCGATTTTATTATTTTATTTGTTTAGCATTCTTTGGATTTGTAATCCCACTGACCATAACTGTTTTCTGTTATATTGCTATTATTCAAACACTAAACATTTATGAGCAGAAATGGCTATGGTATGTTAAAATAAGTCTTTTAACCCTTACAATTTTTGCTATTTGCTTCATACCAAGCAATATCATACTTATTGTTCACCACGTTAACTACTATTACAACAAGAGAGATGACTTATATTTTTTTTATCTTATTGCTTTATGTCTAAGCAGTTTGAATAGTTGCCTTGATCCATTCCTTTACTTTTTGATGTCCAAAGTCAAGGATCAATCAAATATTTATCTAACAATGGTCAAAATATCTAGGGAAGAATGACATAAGTGTAATGTCCTATATTTATTGATGCACATACATTTGAAAGAGCTATATATTATTATTATTATTATTATTATTATATATACTATTTTGTGTGTGTGTGTTTCATAAATTTAGCAAATTACACACACACGTATGTATGTATGTATGTATGTATGTGTGTGTATATATACACACATACATATACATATACACACATACACACACACACACACACGTGTGTATGCAAAAGTTTTGGGGTTTTTTGAGGGTTTTTGTTTGGTTTTTTTTAAACAGTGCCGAGACACTTAATGATAAATGAAGTACTTATGGATAGTCTTTAATGAAAAAGCAGCCTATATTCAAAAGTACCTTCCTGAAAGAAAACTTACTTGTTTCCAATCTTTGTTAAAGTCTACTTAAAATAGTTTTGCCAACTCTTGCAATATTATCAAAAAGTCTTACAGTTTGGTGGATTAAAGTGAGACTCAGCTTTCACTTAAGAGACTCCCGAGTGTGAACACTAAAGGCCACAAGTGTCAGAAAACAAGATAAGCTCGGTAATATTTTAAAGTAAAATCTGATGATTTTTGGAAATACTTGATGCTTCTGTTTGTGATCAACATGTGGATAGTTATATAAAATGGTTTTCTGTTCTGCCTGCCTTTAATACAATACAAACATAAGCATTCCAAGGACAACATAACACCTAAAGTTAATAAAATTCATATATGACATCTAGCACATCCACTAGCACATCATTACTACTGTCTGACTGTGTATTAGAGACCCATTTCACTTTGAATACAAGTTTTCCCATTTAGTTTGACACAGCAATCCTTCTGCATTCAAGACTCTTATAAACCCTACACTAGTGACCAACTACAATTTGATCCTCACAGATTTGGGGTGTTGGGGGGGAGGGGAGGAGACAACTGCAGGGTATATATTTACAGAAGTTAAAAAAATTTATATTAAATATAATGCCATCCACCTCATGAAATACCTACATCAATGGCATGTGTGTATATTTCTTACTGCCAACTGGTTAAAGTGTAAGGAACAATACTTTTGTTCACCTACACTGCTAATGCCATTTTAAGAAGCATCTAGTTAACCAAAACACCTACTTTTATTTTAATTTGAAAAAGATTCTGAAAAAATGCTTGGGGGGGGGGGGGGGGGGAA